TACGATTTAGGAAGAGGGGCAAGTTGGGACCCTGATATATTAGACCCTTCAGGGTAATAGCTAGGGTAGGCAGGGTAGCCTACCGGTTGGATCTACCTGCTGAGTTGGGGCAGATCCATGATACCTTTCATGTCTCACAGTTGAGGAAATGTATTGCCGACAAGTCGGCAGTGGTGCCATTAGATGATATTCAGGTGGATGCAGGCCTGAACTATGTGGAGAGACCAGTAGCGATCAGGGATCGAAAGGTTAAGGTTCTGAGGAACAAGGAAGTACCCCTGGTACAAGTGCAGTGGCAACATCGGAAGGGGTCCGAGGTGACATGGGAGTCGGAGTCTGAGATGCGGGATCAATATCCAGAGTTGTTTTCAGTATGAGACTTCGGGGGCGAAGTCTGGTTCTAGTAGGGGAGAATTGTAACAGCCCGAAATCCAGGTATTTTTCTATTTTGGTTATGTTGTCATTTTAGGGTTTTCATGATAAGCGAGTACGCTGGGCGTACAAGGTGTACGTTGCGCGTACTCGCACGCCTCATTTGGCGCGTTCATCCTCAGGTACGCTGGGCGTACCCAAGGTTACGCTTGGCGTAACTTTTCCAGATCTAAAAACCCTAATTCCTTTGGAGGGCTATAAAAGGAATGTGTGGCTGGACTTCTCAGCCACCATCCCTCATAGTGAAACCCTAAAAAGAGTGTGCCTTCGTTCTTAAGCCATTTTGTGTATATTCTAAGCTTGGTGGTGCCATTCCAAGGTTGCAAAGGAGAAGAAGAGCTCATTGGAAAGACTAGAAGTGGTGTTCAAGTGTAGATCTGAGCTTTGCAAGGGTTAAAGCTTCATTATCAGGTAAAAAGTTTGGATCTTGTCACTTGGTTCATGTTATATGCTTCAAGTACCATTTTCTAGGGTTTTAGTCCCAAAGGTGGAGACTTTTTGTGCAAATGGCCTCCACAAGCTTAGATCCTTTATATTTATGGTCTATTGGAGTTGTAGACTCATAAAAATGACATCTTGGATGTGAATATTGCTCCATGCATGAGATCTAGGTCCTTGAGTTGGAATAGAATGTTGTTAAGAGGTGTTGGAGCCTTTACAGCCATGCCAAGGCTTAAAGGTCTCGACTTTATGGGTTTAGACACATTAACAGAGTCGGATCTAGAAGTTGGAGTAATGGCTTAACCGATTAAGACCAGAAATGAAGAGTGTTAGAATCTGATGGTTACGCTGGGCGTAACTTCCAGTACGCGCAGCGTACTGGGTGGAGACTCCGATCCATGGGTTGGCGATGTACGCCCCGCCGTACATCTAGCAGTACTCCCCGCGTACTCTCAGGGTTGACTTTTGTTGACTTTTAGGGTTTTGGTCAACATGAGGACTTTAGGTCAAGGAAGGGTAAAATGGTCTTTTACCCTCTGAGGAATGATGATAAGGGATAAATTTTTAGTGGTGGAAGTCTTTGAGTATTAAATGATATTTTTATGTTTAGGCGAGGTAGAGTCGTCGTTGGGATTTGGAGATAGCAAGGACGCGAGATCTTAGACTTTCCACGAGGTGAGTTTTCTCACTATATTGTACCTGGAAGGGTTTGACTGTGTGACCAGAAGGTCGAATATGTTATGAGATATATGTATTGTGTGTGATAAGTTAATCGTTTATATGTGTCATGTATGATATGCTTGATATGGGCCGGAAGGCATTATGTTATGGGCCGGAAGGCGAATATGTTATGGGCCGGAAGGCGTATGTGATGTGGACTGTAAGGTTGACATGGGTAGGACCGAAAGGTCTACCTAGTCGGGACGGAAGTCCCCTGAGACACATGGACCGGAAGGTCAGGGCCTGGAAAGGCGTATGTGCGTAAGTTGTATTTTTTGGGAACTCACTAAGCATTTATGCTTACAATTGTTGTGTTATGTGTTTCAGGTACTAGCGAGGACCGTGGGAAGGCGCCGGCGTGATCGTACACATTGTCAGAGAAAAACTATTGTATGATCATTGGGATGTATTATATTATGATATCATTGTTCACGTTTGAATTTGGAACATTAATCGATGGTTTTTGATGCTTACAAAAATGAAAATTTTGTTTTAAATTTACGTTGTTACACTGATATTGAGCTTTTCACTCACTTTTGGTAAGTATTTTCATCCTACATTTGAACATTCTTCACACCTTCACTCAAATTATGGATTTCTCATAACAAATATCACCATATTTGTTCTTAGATCTTCAACTCTCCAAGCATTTACCAAGTGTTCTTGACTTGGCAACCTCTCTTCTTCTACATTTATCTCAGAAAATCACTCAAGGTGATTCCATATCCCTACATTTTCATGTTTTTCTTCAAGTATTATGGGGGAGGGGGAATACAAGTTAAACCACCTTAACACAACTCAAACTCATAATTTAGCTTTTCAAAGAAACATTGAGTCCTATTCACAGACTATTTTGACCATCTTAAACTTAATATCTTTCAAAAATGTTTAATATGAAAGTAGTTCAGGTTTATACCTTTATAATGACTACTTGCACATCTCCATATGATTTTTATACAATTTATGGTGATTTTTACAAAACTGCTTATCATATCAGAAACGAATTCGGACCAGTCTGTGAATATGAACATCACACAAGTTAGAGAGTTCTAAAAATCATAATAAAAATTATGAATCAACTAGATGCATTTTATAAACTCTCAGAGTTTATGGATTTAGTTTTTGACTTCGTATGATTTTTCTATGAGTTTTCTTAAACAGTGTAGAAAAGTTAAAAACTAGTTAACAGCTTATAACTTTCATAACACTTTGTAACATGTTAAGCAAAGTGTTTATCTTTGATGACTTAATATTTTACATGTGTTTTCTGTTGAGTTACGTTTAAATAACATAAATTAGTCACTAATTTGTAAGAATCCTTTATCGTTAGAAACATACAAGATGAAGCATAAGAAGTATAGTTATGCTTTACTAAATATACTACTTACGCAAAAAAAGGTTTAGCTCTCAATACAAATGGGTTTCATTTACCACATGATAAATTATAATAGGTATAATTTGTGGACTTCACACTTCAAACATACTACACAGAAAGGAGATTTCAATTCCACCATACAAAAGGTTTTACACGCATACTACACGTAAACTCGTTATCGTAAATTCTGAGACACGTCTTCATTGTACTCTTAGAGTACGGGTTAAAATTCTTGAATAGTTATAACCAGAGTCTCTTGTAGGGAGAGCATGATAATTATGTATAGATCAATATTGGGATTGACAACCCACACCCATGTTGCTTACGACAGCCCGATAGGGGGTGACAAATGTCATTTCATTTCCGACGCATGAAGAACGTCGTAGTAGGCATCTCTGTTATAGTATGGTTATAGCGACTCACATAGGGAGATAACGACACTTATAGTTTGCGGGAATTTCTACTTTAAAAAGAGGTTTTATCTATTTAAAATTGCATACATCGTTGTAAGTACAAAACACACATACACTCAGTCTTGGGATTTAAGACTACATAACATTTATTAAGGAAAATAATGGATTTTTCTTGGGTATACATTACATTTATAAACAAAGGATTTCAAACTCTACATCCAAAAAGCTTATGAACTCACCAATTTAATTGTTTACACTTTTTCAAAATTACTTGTATTCTTAGGAAATCAGTGAAACAGGAAATCAACAGCTTTTGAGGATGGGACGTTAAATCGTCAAACATTTCATTTTTGTCATCATAGTTTAATTGAATTTGAAACATGTAAACTCATACTATGGTGTAACTTTTTCAATTATATTTATGATGGTTGTATTTACTTTGAACACTATTATACTCTTGTTGTGATATTATACATGAAGTCCGCCACCCCCGGATGTTTCCGCCATCCTTGGTTTGGGGGTGTGACAGTCGACTTGTCAAGATGATGGTTGCGGGTACGATTTATTCAACACTTCCAGACCACCACCATTAATGAAATTAGGGCCCTTAATAACAAGTCAGAAATTAGGGCTCGTCATAATGTCTCAAGATTTTCTTCATTTGCCTTAATATATCCATCAGAGGGTATGTTCAGTGATGATTATAGTGAAGAAGGGCATGTAAGAGGTGAGATGACGATGGTGAAGAAATTATAAAAAGTCATTATCTCTCAAGCTTTCTATTTGTTTCTCAAGGAAACTATCCCATTGTAAAAACCCAACGCAAGGCTCAGATTCCATGTTCTGCTCCTGAATTAGGTCACTCTCATTCGAATCCCTCTGATAAGCACGCTAATCGATGCAATTCTCCCAATCGCAACTATATGCCGAGAAATGATGTTAATCAGAAGACGATGATTTGGGAGATTCTTGAAAAGAAACCATGGTAGATCGTAGGATTTACCAAGAACAAAAATTACATCTACATGCTTCATATTCTTCATAGATTTCCAAATAAACAATCATCATTATGGAAAAGGGACCACGGGATGAAGATAAAAAAAACGAGGCGATTAACAGATATGTGTTAGAGACTATAAGAATGAAAATGATGTGTGTGTGTGTGAGAGAGAGAGAGAGAGGGAGAGAGAGATGAGGGGCACTGATGGGGGTAGGGTGGATAGGCCTAATTCTTTTCTTTTTATTTTTATTTTAATAAAGAATTTAAAATGGTATGAAAAATGCAAAAAACAAATGAAAAGGGTAAAAAAAAGTCATTTCAAGTTGTTGAGGGACCAAACCCACATAAACTTTGTGATTTTGGACTGGTGGTGCAAGTTGGAAACTTTTTGGACTGTATCCACACTTTTTTATAACCATGAGGACCAAATTTGCAGTTTAATCATAAAGTAATAAATGGATATCAATTTCATTAATGAGTTATCATTTAATTTTAAAATTTTTAAATTAAAATTTATTATTTTATTTATTTAAATTACAAAGATAAAAAAAAACATTTCAATATTAATAATTCATTATTTTTTTATACCTTTCATATATTTTTTTTTTCTGACAATATATGTATTCAAAGGAAAATTGCACAAGTAAGAACAACAATAGTCAGCCGGAAGTCGTCCATTCATCACCGGTGACCGAGCCCCGGGAACCTGTTTCATTCTATTCATGGCATGCACTTCAATTCAATTCTTAAGGTATAATTAATCCCCAAATCCTACCCGCTTCCGTCATTAGATTCTGATATGCTTCCGTATTTGCGTTTCAATTAAGTTCTTTAATTAGTCCCGATGAACAGTAAACCCATGGAAGGTCTCATTTATGCCAAAAACAACTCCTTTTTTGTCCCTTTTCGACCTAATCTGACTGAGGATTGCGTTACATTAATCGGATTCATATTTTGCAAAATCTATCGCCGCAATTGTTTCATTCTGCATGCAATGGTGACGGAGGATGAAATTAACCTGTGCATATCTATTTTTTGCTTAGAAGAATCATGAAACATCGATCACAATCTCATCTTCAACCATGGAACCTCTTTAACAAGTTCAGGAATCGGGTTTTGCTTGGTGCGTTTCTTCTTCTGGTAGTTTCCATGGAGGTTACTGAGTCACGATTCCTGGTTAAGTCACTGCCAGGTTTGCCTGGTGATCTTCCTTTCACACTTGAAACTGGGTAAGGTCATGCTCTTTCTAATAAAATCTAATTTCCTATGCAGATTGCTGGAAATAACAATGTGCTAAACTCTTGCTACCAAAATGTGCAATGTGCTTATATTTTTATCCATATAATAGCAATGTATTTATATTTTATTTCTTTACTTATATTGTACTTTATTTGAGTAAATTGGTGAAAATTTGTAAGTAGGTTGGTTTTCTATGTAAAGAAATGTAGGTAGTTTGCTATTATCGGTAAAAAAAAATATACATACATTGCTATTTTGAGTAAAAATAAAGTATATGCACTATATTGTCAAAAAAGATTAAAGTTTGTTACTTTTTGAAATTTGTGTTTTTATATATTATTCTTTATCTTTCTTTTTATGTAGTAAATATACTAACTCTTAAAAGAACAATGTGGTTTAAGCTACATTGGGGTAGGAAAATCCAATGAAGTGCAACTATTTTACTACTTTTTTGAGTCTGAAGGGAACCCGAAAGCCGACCCTCTCATGATTTGGCTTACAGGAGGGCCTGGTTGTTCTGCTCTTTCTGGGCTTCTGTATGAGATAGGTATGTCTAAGATATGTAGTTTTTATTACTAATAGAGTAAATTACAAGAATGGTCCCTATGGTTCGGGGTAATTTGTGCACTTGGTCCCTAAAAGGTTCCTACTGTTTGTTTTTGTTATGCGCTTGATCCCTACTGTTTGTTTTTCTTACAAATTTGGTCTCTATCTTAACTAAAAAGACTATTATTTAAATAGGGAAAAATGGTGGGGTATGTAAGGTAAGGTGAGGGTGGGATTGGGAGTGTGTTTATTTAAATAAATCACAAAATCAATGGCAAAATAGTCTTTTTAGGTAAGACAGGGACTAAGCGCGTAACAAAAACAAACAGTAGGGACCTTACGAGTTAAACAAATAAGTTAGGAACTAAACGTGCAAATTACCCTAAACCATAGGGACTATTCGTGTAATTTACGCTTACTAATAAATTAATGCCACAATATCTGTCTTTCTCTTTCCATCATAAAATTTAAGATGATATTAGTTTAAGTGTTGGTGTTTTTATGTTGTAACAGGCCCATTCATGATCGACTATGCAAATTCTACTTTGGAGAAGCCAATGCTCCAGATAAACCCTCACAGTTGGACAAAGGTGTAATTTTACTACTTGTATATAGTATTTCATTTTAAAGTTTATAACCTCTTTTAATGTTAAAAATCCAATTAGTACAAGTGTCTTGATAATATAATTAATGAAATAAGTGTTACATTTTAGGTGGCTAATATAATATTTCTTGATCAACCTGCTGGATCTGGATTCTCCTATGCAAAAACTCCTGAAGCTTACATAACAAACGATACATTATCAACAATGCAGGTTTACCATTTTCTGAGGAAGGTAACTTAAGGTCATTTTTACGTTTCCATTTACATTCTTGGAGGCATACTCACATTTTTCCATTTGTCTCCTTGACAATGAATTGTAATATATATGTATCAAAATTAATAGTGGCTCCTGGAACATCCTAAATTTCTCAACAATCCATTGTATTTTGGTTCTGATTCCTATGGTGGGATAGTGGTGCCAATGATTGTTCAAGAAATATATAACGGTATATTCTTAATACATAGCAGTGTACTAATTAAGCTTCTGTTGACTAAATAGTCTTTCTTAAGAGGTTAATTTTCAGCTTCTTGTTTCCCTCTTTTAGGTAATGAAGTTGGAGAAGGGCTACATATCAACATAAAAGTACAAACTATTTACCTAATCTTTTCTCTAATGAACAAATTGTGGGTTACATTAGCTTTGATTGGACTTGAAAATGATTTACCTAATCTCTTCTTGGATGATCACTAAATATTTTCCAACTTAGGGATACGTGCTTGGTAACCCTTCAACAGATGCAAGTGTTGACTATAATTCAAAAATCCCATTTGCTCATCGTATGGGATTCTTATCAGATGCAATCTACAAGGTAAATAACTATAGTTGGATTAATTACGTTCCTAGATTACTACATATCATTTTCTTATATAGCTTTCCTAGCTGCAAATCACAATATATCCCGGATTTAATTAAGTTTTATATTTTAGCAGTCAACTAAAGAAAATTGTCATGGAGAGTACTTAAATGTTCATCCCAACAACAGCCTCTGCAAACACTACCTTCAAGTGGTAGAAAAAGTACATGAGCTAGACTTTTAACTTGGATTACTTACTAGTTAATTATGTCATCTTCAGAATCTGTGTATATTCCGTTTAATCATGTTTTTTTTTTTTTTTTTTTTTTTAAATTTATCTACAGTGCCTGGAAAGAATTCGCAAGGCTCACATTTTAGAGCCTTTTTGTGACACTCTAAATACCCTCAAATCTGATCTCTTTAGTAGGGGATTAAGATCTCTTGACAAAACCTCTATGGATATTTGGTCGTTATCTCAACTTCAGATACAAGGCTGTCGGGTATATGTATATATATATATATGTGTGTGTGTGTGTGTGTGAGAGAGAATAAGTTTTTGTGTTGTCACAGGAGGACAACTACCTGTACTCGTATACATGGGCTAACAGAAAAGACGTGCGAGAGGCTCTTAACATTCATGAGGTATGTGAGTTGTATTTCTATCCATGTTCATATTGAATATGCAGGATAATATAATCTCATAACCCCCAGGAATATGAAGAAATCGAGTGGGTGCGATGCAATGAAACGTTGCGTTCTCCTAATGATCATAAGAAGGTCTTATCTTACACGCACACTGTCCCTAGTACAGTTGCATATCATCGACACCTTGCTGATAGAAATTGTCGAGCTCTTGTATATAGGTGTTACGCTTCATCCATCTCTTCCTCTCAATATCATATATCTATGTATACTCTCTAGCTTAAGCTAATTAAAACTAGAGTCTACTTTGCCTTAAAAGGGCATAGCATAGTTGGTTTTCGCGGGTTCTATGCTTCAAAAAAGGTCAAGGGTTTGAGTCTTAGCAACTGCAACATGGGAGTTTCAATTCTAATGTGGATTGATGTTTTTATAAGCGGGTCGTTGTTTACCTAATTTATATCTCATATGATGTTGGGCGGGTGGGCAGGTGGGGTAGGATAGTGTGGGTCAGCTCAGGGTTGTTGGAATAATAACCCTTTGCAGAAAACTAGAGTCGGCTATTTGTCGACCTTATTCATGCATGCCTGTGGTATTTAAATTTTTTTTTATTTAAAGTAAATGAACGTTGGTTACATTTTACAGTGGAGATCATGACATGGTTGTTCCATATTTGGGTACGTTAAAATGGATTGAATCGCTAAATCTGTTAGTTGTGGATGATTGGAGACCTTGGTTTGTTGATGAACAAGTAGCCGGGTTAGTTTGTTTTCATTGACATGGTATCATCTAAATAAATGCTAAAAATAATAAAGGTACGTTTGGTTGTGGAAAAATTTTCAGTTTTTTAGAAAAAAAATTCAAAAAAAACAGAAATTTTGAAAACACGTTTGGTTCGTTTAGTTTTCCAGAGTTTTCTAAGAAAACGAAAATTTTCAGTTTTTCAAATTGTATGTAAATTAGAAAAGTGATTTTTATACTTTTCCAAATATTTCTAAATTTCTCAGATGGAAAATGAAAACTCCACCGGTTCCAACCAAACGCGTTTTCTAAAATTTTCATTGAAAACCGAAAATGAAAATTCAACTTTATTCTCTAAAAACATTAGGTTGCGTTTAGTTACAGAAAAACAATTTTTATTTTCTGTTTTTTATTTTCCCTTTTCGATTTTCATTTTCAATTTTAGAAAATTAGAAAACGTGTTTAGATGTGTATTTTTCTATCGGTTTTCATTTTTAAAAAATGGTAACGGTGGTAGGGTGTAGGTAGGGGCGGTGATGGTAGCGGGTCGACGGCGGTGGTGGTGATGCCAGACAATGGTGGTGGCGGCGGCAATTGTGTCAGTGGTGGTGATGGTGGCGGCAGCGGTGGTGGTGGTGCTAGTGACGGGTTAGTGGTGGTGGTGGTGATGATGGTAGGTCGGTGATTGTCGTGTTGGTGTTGGGTGGGTGGGAGTGCCAGTGTGTGTTTGTGGGGGTAGGTATAGGTTTGTGTGTGTGTGGGTGGGTGGGTATGTATGTGTGTGTGTGTGCGGGAGTGTGGGTGGGTGGGTATGTGTGTGTGTGTGCGGGTGGGTGGGTGTGGGGGTGGGTATGTATGTGTGTGTGTTTGTGGGTGGGTATGTATGTGTATATGTGTGTGTGTGGGGGGGGGGGGGGGGTATGTATGTGTGTGTAGGGGTGGGTGGTGTTAAGGTGGGGTAGGTAGAGGTGGATGGGATCGAGTGGGTGTGTGTTTATAGAAAAAATTTGGAATTAGAAAAATGTGAAAAAGAATGATTATCAGTTTTCCAAAAATTTCCAACTTCTTTGTAATTTTAGAAAACGGAAAATTTTCATTTTCCGTGAAAAATTTAGAAAAAATAAACGAACTAAACGCGTTTTTAAAATTCTCTTTTTTCTTGGAAATTTTTTCCGGAAAACGGCCAATTTTTCCGCAACTAAACGTATCCTTAGGTTTTCCACAACCAAACACCCTAATATTTCAATTTTCCAAACTGTTTTGATGTCTTACTTTCTTGCAGATACACCGTGAAATACTCAAACCACAACTACAACTTGACCTTTACTACTATAAAGGTGAGAAATCTTCATCAAAAACTAATCCTCTCTATAGCTTTTCTTGTCTCGTGAAAGTGGCAATGTTTGACTTTGTAAAAATTAGTATACTTGTAAAACTGTTGTCAAATACAACATTCTTGTTATGATCATGATGGTTGACCTTTTGTGTTAAAGGGAGGAGGTCACACAGCTCCAGAGTATAAACCTAAAGAATGTTTTAGCATGCTTAAGAGGTGGCTTGCTAATGAAGATCTGTAATCAACACTAGTAAAGTTAAAACTTTTGATCCTTGTGTTGTACTTTTTGTAAGTCAATTTTGATAGATAATGTAATGCAGTTGTGTAAAATATGTTATCATACAATAATTCTTCTTAAATAGTTAAAGACATTTGCAAAAGTTAATGAGATGCTTTACATATAGCCCTGCTAATCTACTATGACAACACCTCCACATTTGTTAACAAGTTGATTTTGTGATTTCTGTAAAATCACTATTGTAAAAATCTCGATTAGGTCCCGACTAATCTCCAATTAATCTCTAGGCACTATTTGATCGACTAAAGGGCGCATAGCGATTAATCCCTACATATATAATGAGTGAAACAATATAAAATGATGAAATTTTAACACGTTGAATAAATTGTCTTAATAGATACTATTTGAGGTATTATTATTGTTGTATTAATCATATTAACCTATTTTGTTATGATATTAGTTGTATTTACGAATATTAGTCATATTTAATTTTTTAAAATTCACAAATTAACAATTAACGGTCCCCGATTAATCTCCGTGTATCCGATTAATCCTTTAACCTTAGTCCACCCGACTAGTTCACATCGAGCGTTTTTTTACAACCTTATATAAAATAAATATCAAATATTTGTTTTTTAGTCGATTTCGAGAATATTAGGTTACTTTTCTGTTCTAAGCAAATTACAAGTGGCATCAAAAACAGTATGATACTTGTTTTAAGCGTTGGATGCTTGTTTTCTTTTTATATGTTTTGACCCTCACATACTTAAACAATGAGAGAGATTTTAGTTATTTTATACCATCTTAGCTAGGGGTGAGCAAACCATTTTTTTTTTCCAAACCAACCCGTTCAGAAAACCGGTTCGGTTCCGATTCATGAATAGTAAAACCGGTTCAACCTTAAATCGGTTCGGTTCAAACCGGTTCAGTCATTATTAAATTCGAACCTATCTAAATCGGTTACACCAGTTCTAAACCGGTTTGATCGGTTTGACCACCGGTTCTAAACCGGTTCATGGTTATTAAACCGGTTTTAATGTCTAAAATCTCGAACGGGTTCAAACCGGCGGTTCGGTTCTTGAATCGGTTCAGTTGATAGTGGACCGGTTCATGGTGAACCGGTTTACCGGTTCATGGTGAACCGGTTTACCGGTTCATAGTGAACCGGTTTACCGGTTCATGGTGAACCGGTTTACCGGTTCATTGACCGGTTCGGATTCTAAACCGGTTTTTTTGTGCAAGCCTAATCTTAGCAGGGCTTAATATAAATGAAGCCCATTTGAAAGCCCGGAGTATTAAATCATTTGGACCACTTTGACCTGAAATGAACAAAAATCTTTTTCGATATGAAAAGCTCTCCGTCCTTTTTTAGGATATTGATGTTATTAATCGGTTAAAAATCATATTAAACTATGTTTATAACTTTTATTATGTGTAAAACTCATGTATTATATGAGTTAATTAAAAAAAATTAAATATAAATGTCTAAATATTTAAAAGCTTTGGATTTATTAAAAAATAAGAAAAATAATGAATTATTATAAATTGATTTTTTTATCTTTTAAATTTAAATAAATAAATATAATAAAATAATGATCTTTAATTTGGGACTTTTAAAACAAAAATATAAGTTCACTAATAAAATTGATATTTATACTATATTTATTATTTTATTAAAATATTATATGGACATTATTAAATATAAAAAAAAAACTCAGACATGTGAAAAAGAAATTAATCAAAATAACCACAAAATAACATGACAAATTGAATAAGACTAAAAAAAAAAGAAAGAAAAAAAAAATCATTTATTAGAATAGAGTTAAATTATTTTAACTTTCATATGGCATGTTTATACACATCTTTATTTAAACAAAACTTATCATCTACTTTAAATCAGACTTTAATTTTCTTTAGAAATAAATAAAAATACTCCAAAAATCACAATTTTTAAACAGCTCCTGGTATCAAAATATCTTTTAATTTTTTTCTAAACTAGGGTCGTTTACACCATTAAAAAAAAAACAGACCAACATGCACCATTCCTCACAGAGGCACAAAGGACAAAACTATCTTCTTAATTATACAATATTATGGAAAATGAATATCTAGAGATTATATGCCAACGAAAACCACAACTATATCTACTATATACTAAGATTAAAAAAAAAAAAAAAAAAAAAATGAAACAAACCAAACAAAACAAGCCCTTAGTGAATTGGATTTCCTACTTTCTCAATACTAACTCAAAAAAAAAAAAAAAAAAAAAAAAAAAGTACTTGATCAGATTCGGGATCACAAGGTCATTTTGGTAAATTTGAATCCTTCCTTGCAGACTCCAATAACTGGTGGTTAGAGAGATGATGTGATGAATATTATCAATCAGCTCTCAATCTCAGTATCTCCTTGGCAGTTCTCAATCTAAAATATGGCATATGCTCCTACAAAAAATAAAAGATATTTACTACTACTTATGACAAATTTAAAAGCAATAAATATATATATATAAATAATTTGTTTTCTTCAATATTCATTTCTCTATTAATTTATTACAATATGGTTTACCTGATTGAAGCACAATCCAATGTCCCTGCTATAAAAATCTGCATATTTTATCATGAACATGCCACAATCATACCTGCCCACAAACAAATCCAACTATTAAAAAAAAAAATTAAAAATTATAATCCCAATAAATTACAATCTCTAAATCCCAATGTCCTAAGGAGGGCATTGATTTCTTTTGCACAGACAGAGATTTCAATAGCATTTTTCAACTTGCTGACTTTATTCAATTCAATTATCATAAAGTCAACAAGAAAAATGTCCAAACTCCCAAAGCTACCAGATTACAAATAATAAAAAATTTCCTTTTTTGGTAAATATTATGAAAACTATTTCAAGAAAGTGAATAGTATACACACCCGTTTTCTTGATTAGGAAGATCAGTGACAAATTCTTGCTTCCAACAACTGACATCAATGTTTTTTCCAGTCTTGTCCTTCACCTCATCAGTGATGTATGTGGCCTGAAAACATGAAACAACACATAAGATTCATACATGGATGCGAGGGTATTTTAGTCTTTTTACACAAATAACGTAAAGAAATGGAATCTGGCCTACGAATTGGAAACTGTTATGCATTCGGTTGGCAAGAAATAGAATGGAATTCTTTTTGGAAAAAGAATATTTCACTTTTAATGGGGGGTATTTTAGTCTTTTAAGAAATAAAGAGAAGAAAAGGAATTGACATACCAACATTTTCATTACTTTCTTATCAGCCCCTCCAAGTGAGTCAAGATACTGGAATTTTTCTTCTTTTTTGTTGATAACAGCTAAACACCAGTGTATTTCTTTATGAATGGGAACAAATATCTGCTTAAAACTATTATTAGTAAAGAATTATTAAAAAAAATAGAAAATTAAAATCTTTTCATTTACCTTGTCACACTCAAGAAGACCATATCCCAATTTCTTCTGTGTAGTCCATCTTCTAACTGACTTATAGTCATACCCTGTTCTTCCACTTATCAACTGCCAAAAAAAAAATATAATTTAGAATATAAGTTTCTATATATGACTAGATAATTGGAGAAATATTTTACATATTACTTAGGCTCATATTACTTATGCCCATTATGCATTTATGATAATCAATAAATCCTTTTATCTTGAGATATAAATAATTACAACAATTACCAAATCTATGAACAAGAAAAGATAGAAAAAAAGGAATGTGATTAACAAACCTTCTTGTAGAAAAATGTGTTGAAGAAATGACATTTCAAAAACTTTTGGGGATCCCTAGTTTCCCTCTCCTTTAGCAACTCAAGATAAACATTGATGACCTTTAATAAAGAAATCAGCAGTGTAAGCTTGTATATTATTAATACATTAATATACTTTCATATATAACATTTTAAGTCAATAATCACCTCATCATTTAACCATGCCTTAGGTCTCAAACATTGTAGAACTTCCCCTGTGATTGTAATATTTGAGTTTTCATGATTGACAAAAGCCTTCCTCCTACAAATTTGAAAGTCCATTTAAAAACCGACAAATCAGATGAAAAAAAAAAGTAAAGCATTTTTGGTTTGTATATGGTTTACTACATATCTACAAACATACACAAACAAAAAAACATACCGATTAGAATAAGACAGTGCATTATCAACCATTTTCTCTTCGTCCTCTGTAAGAGGTCTAAAAGGGTCATTTAAATCCTGAAAAAACAATCGATTTGAAATGAAAAACAGTTGATAGAATATATAAACTTCAATCCAATTACCAATTTAAGTTGAGTACAAACTGTTTACCTCCTTTTTCTTAGCAGGATGTGATTGTTGATATAAAGCTCTCCTTTTTTCTAGTAACTCAATATCAAAATTTATCCTCCTCAATTTTGAATCACTCCTTTTTGCAGATTCATACAACTTCTTATGAAAAGGGGAACCGATATCTGAACCCCGGTCCAAAGACAAGGATTCCAACATCTTACCATTTGTCAACTCAGATACAACTTCAGAAGAAGTTGAGGGTGTCTTTTGATCCAATTCCCAATATTTGGCTGCTATTTCTTGTACCTCCCCTGAACTATGAATGTGTTTTATCGCATCTTTCACCATTTCAACCTCCTCAACACTAGAACTCCGAGAAGCAGCCTTGTCATATTTAAAATTCTCCTCTTTATCAACATCAATTACCTCCGTCATATCCTGCTTTTCAAACACAACAAGTCTGCAAGCACCAATTGCAGATTCCTTCGCGTGTTTGTACTTCGAAAACAGATCATTCATATTTTCACCCGAAATGTAAGATTTTTGTCTAACAATCCCACTATAACCACCATTCAGTCTTTTCACAGTAGAAGTAAATCCACTAACAACTATACAAGGAGCATGAACTTCTCTATTGATCGGGGTTACCGGCTTAGGATATTGGCTGAGCCTGGAAACCGAACTTCTTGAAGTTTTCGTTGGAGCAATGTGAGGCGAAGACCAAGATGATGATTTGAGTTTCTTCGCAACGTGTAGAGAGTTGTAACCGTACACAGATGGCGATAAAGTTTGAAATTCTGCGTCGCGCTTGTTCCGATTAATCGTTAAAGCACCCATTACTGCTGAAAAATGAAAGCGATCTAGGGTTTTCTCCAAACCCTAGGAAGAATTTCCGTCAAACAATTGTATGTTAACATACAAACAGCAACAAATTGAAAATCTAAAACCCTAGAATAGGAAAGGATTGTGAATTTGGCGTAAAGTTAGGGCTCGTAAGATTGGAGTAAATAAGTTTTGTGCTGGGATAAATTGACGTTGGTTTCAGCTGCGAATGTCTTACCGGCTGGGTGTTCACGTGTGGGTTTTAAACGGTGAAACCGGTCAAATTACGCAAGGGTTAGTTTAGCCGTTTGTATTTTTTTTTTTTTTTTTTCTTCATGTGGTTTCAAATTTTCGAAACCGTAATAAAGCTGTTTTGTTTTGCGGTTTAAAAATTTTCAAGCGGTATAAAATTGGATCAAACTCGAGAATTTATATATATATAAATTAATTTTTAATATATATATATATATAGAGAGAGAGAGAGAGAGAAAGAGAGAGAGAGAGTGAGAAGTAAGTTGAATTGAAAAAATAAAAAAGTTCAGAATGAAAGAATCATTTTCAGTCTATCATTTATCTAACATGTACATTTTAAAAAAATGTGTGTGTCATTTTTCATTAAGGGTATCTTTGTAATTAGCCATTTTTTTATATTGAACTTATTTGTTCGTTGTTACCAGTTTCCGATTTGATGATATATTTATCTCGTTTGAATCGGATATGAGGAATTCATTATCAAGATTCTTTTCTTTCTATAACTCGTTAGCAATTATACTTATTTTTTCCATTAATCGTGAAGTTTCGCATCTTTATTTCAGTTTTCTTATTCATATTCAGTTTCCAAGTTAATTAGGTATGTCTATCGTTTGAATCGGATATATCGGAGTTCATTATCAAGATTATTGCTTTATATAATTTGTTAGGAATTACGCGTATTATTTTCGTTTTTGCTGAAGTTTCGAATATGTGTTGGAGTTGTTTCATCGGATTTTTGTTATGTAGTTTGAGATCTTTATTTCAAATCGGAGTTGATTTAATTTTCAATCGGATATATCGTTGTAGTTTTTACGCTCTGACTTGAGAGATTGCTTAATTACATCATCTAATCGAGTTGATTTAAGTTTTTTTTTCAGATATTTTGTACGTTAAGGTGAGATATATTCAAAATTAATCAGGTTCTCATATTTACGACTTTTTTTGTGAGATATATTCGATATTAAGATTGTTTTTATTTATTTATATAGATTATTTGGTTTATTATGTCAAATTCTAGTGTTATTGATGGTGATTTGTATTCTTCTATATGTGAGAATGAACAAGAAGATGTTGAAAACTTATTTTTTAAAGGTATCAATTATTGAATTAGTTTGTTGTTTTTAATTTTGTTGATTATCATTTATTGACATATGAATATGTTACTATGAATAAATTGTTGTCTTATTCATATATGAATAAACATGTGATAATTGTAATTTCGAATTTATTATTATTTTTGTTTTATTCATATATGAATAAGTTATGTTTATTTTATATATTTTGAATCCTCATGATTTTAATGTATTCATTTATGAATGTTTTATTAATCTATTAATAAGCATTTTTTTTGTTTTATTCATATGAATTTCATGTATTCATATATGATTGTTTTATTCATGCATTATTAGATTGATTTAGATTTATAATTTTTTTGGTGGTGAATCATCAAGTTCAGTAGATAATGCGTAATATTGTGGTGATATAATTGAAGAACATGTCTATAAACCAGATGTACCTGTTCAACTTATTCCATTTAAAGGTTTAATCTTCAAATCATTAAAGTTGGCCATCAAAATGTATTCTAAGTATGCTAAAATTGGTGGTTTTGATGTGAGACTGAGCACACGGTCAAGGTCCGATAACAAGATTATAAAGAAGAAACATGTTATATGTAATCATGGTGGCAAACAGAAAAAGAAATCTTGTGCGCATTGGGTACAAGTGGTGTTACGAGGAAACGAAATTCAAATTCAAGAGTTATTGGTTGTCAAGCAAAGATTATATTTGAATCTGTGTATGGAATTCAAGATTATAAAGTTTTTCAGTTTGATGAACTTTACAACCATCCACTTGAGAAGAGAAGTGATTTAAAAAAAGCGAGGAAAATTTCATATTTAGAAAAAGAGTTTATAGTGTGTGTGCTTCCACATCAAAAATAGGCCCAACTATGGCTCATAAGTTGAGGGCAAAGCCCAAAGTAGTTGACAATAAAAATTTAAGGAGAGATATCAACAGGGTTATAGATTATAAAGATGCTCAAATGATAGTAAACACAATGAATGACCCTCGAGCTCACTATCCAAATTACTCATTTAAGTTTAATTGTTAAGATGATGTTTTGGACTGTATGTTTTGGGCTGATGAAATGGAGAAGACATATGATGTTTTGGATCAGTTGAACCAAATATAATGTCATCGACATAAATTTGAACAAGCATCAAATGATCCCCTACTTTCTTTTGAAATAAATTGGGATCAACGGATTCTTGTTTAAATTTAGCCATTTTTAAAAAAAAATGGTAAGAGTCGCGTACCAGGCACGAGGTGCTTGTTTCAACCCATACACTGCCTTGTCGAGAATATATAACAGTGATTAGGATACTTATCGTTAATGAAACCAAGTAGTTGTTCGACGTATACCATTTCTTCAAGAACACCACTGCAGAATGCACATTTTACATCCATCTGGTAGACATCAAAATCCTTGTGTGTTGCATAAGCCAGAAAAATTCGTACCGCCTCGAGTCTTGCGACTGGAGAAAAGGTTTCTTCATAATCCATTCCTTTTTTGACAATAAATGTAACGCCCCATTTCTGGTATGTGATTTAAATAAAGTAATTTTTCAATCTTGAGGGGTACTCGACGAGTCAGTATCCCGACTCGTCGAGTAGAGACGAGATTTGCATGCGGTTTAAGTTGGCGACTCGATGAGTCCATATTCTTGGACTCGGCGAGTTTGCCAGTCTGGATGAAACCATAATTTCAAGGGTTTGCACCCTATTTAAACGTCATTATAGCCCCAAACCAGCCTCCTTCAATTCCCATAGACTTATTCCCGAAACCGTAGCCTCCTTAAAGTGTGTGTGAGTGATCTTCGCCTTGTGAAGGAACTTTTGGTGCATGCATTTTGGAGCAAAGAGAAGAAGGAGAAGGTAGAAGACCTCAAGGAAGAAGAAGTAGATCCAGAATACACTCCTCTTTGTCCATCCCTTCTGGTAATGAAATTTCCATCTTGATTATTGTGTTAATAGATCTAGTTTGTCCCCAAATTGTTGGCTTTAAGCTCAAAAACCCCAAATCCTTTGTGATAAAGTCTTGTGATCGAGTCATATCTCAGATCTAGCCTCTCTTGAGCTCCAGAAGCTCAAGGATACCATCTTTTGGCAGCCATAGCTTTGTTTTGGTCTAATAACCCCCATAATAGCAAAGTTTGAGTGTTATTGCTTCATTGCATCTTAGAAACACGTAAAGTTAGCAACTTTACGTGTTCAATTAGTCCCAGAAGCTTAGATCTACGAATTGGATGCACTAAAGTTGATTAGAATCGACTGTATGGATTCTTCATGCAAAGGACTCGGCGAGTCGGGTCGCGAGTCTTAGACTCCCGGTTCAGTAGTAGCGAGTCGGTGTAGTGCGTAGAGTAAGGACTCAGTGAGTTAAGACTTGGATCTGGAAGCAGACGGACTAGACGAGTTGTTCATATGACTCAGCGAGTCATAGATTGGATGTGTTCTTATGTTGAAGGGGAACTCGATGAGTTGTTCACACAACTTGGTGAGTCAGTTGAAGGACGACTAGACATTAATGTAGAAGGAGAACTCGTTGAGTATCACAACTAGAAATTTTGATGCTTTGTAAACATTGAACAACGATAACATGGTGATTAAAACTTGAAAGCGTGTATGATGCTTATTCAATGATAACAAAATTTCATCAAACACTCTATACAAACACTTCAAATAGTCAACAAAGAATTCGAAACCCTAGAAATCCCGGTTTAGGTCCATCATGGACTAGGATTTCCTTATTGGGCCTAATGAGCCAATAAGCTTCCAATTTGACTATTTCGGGCTTAGAACTCTTAAATGGGCCCTAATTGGACCCACATTCATGAAACTTAATATTTTGGACCATAATGGATCTAAAATGGACTAGTTTATCTCTAATGGGCCTTATTGGGCCATAACAAATCTAACTAGCCCAAATAGGCCATGAGACTCATACTTTAATTTATTTTCGGCCGTGAACCATCTCCAAAGACCTATTGGGCCGAAAAATCATTAAAATGGGCCATAATATGGATTTAAGCACAAAAAGGCCCAAATTCTTTCTTTCCTCTCTCTCTCTCTATCTCTCTCTCTCTCTCTCGGCCCAACTACAAAAAAATAGGGGGAAAAAGAGTTGACTTAATGTTGCCACCTCACAATTATACATGGGGTATCCATGCACTCTTCTCATGTTCCCATGCATGTCAACTCAATTCACTCTCTCTTCTCTCCCCTCCTCTTAATTCGACCGAAGCACACACACCCCATCACTATTTCAAAGTTTCTTCAAAACTCTCTCTAGAACTCCTTCACTTTTCCTCCAAAATTTCAAGAATCACAAGTGCAACACCGTGAATGTCAAACAAAATTTTCAATTTTTCGTAAAACATAATTCATTTAATATTCATAAAACAACCATATTAATTATCCAATTCAAGTCAATACAAAATCCCAAGATCACAAATATATAAACTCCGTGTGTGTGTACGGATCAAGTCGGCGCCTTCCCGCGGTAGTCACTAGTACCTGAAACAATAACATCAAACACTGTAAGCACAAAGCTTAGTGAGTTCCCCAAAATACCACATATAACACATATTAGCCACTCGAGGCTATAACTCTGTGGGTCCGTGCACCCAAACTCTGTGAACCCTCAGGTTCTAACTCTGTAAACATGCACAACATAAATCACATAGAAATAATGCAGTACAACACATAACATACATAGCATACAAATATTCTATCACATAACTCTGGTTACCTACTCAAGGTAAATATAGTGAGAAGACTCACCTCGCGTATCTCGATAAGTCGTAAGTCCTGAAATCACTAGCGCTCGATCTCCCGAGCTATAGTCCTCCTAAATCACAATACCACTCTAATTAACACTTTCCCAACTAAGGTTGGCTACTCCTTGATAAGTCAACAAAAGTCAACCCTGGTCAACGGTCAACGGTCAACTTTGACCGGA